GCACCAGCGCGTCTGGACCGAGCCCAGCGCAGTGGGCACCAGCGCGTCTGGGCCGAGCCGGGGGTCACTGGGCACCAGCGCGTCTGGACCGAGCCGGGGGTCACTGGGCACCAGCGCGTCCAGTGGTGTTTGGACCGGTATCTAATGAAATCGCGGTAACCCTGGGCAAAACCGAGCCCGGCCGCGGCGGCGGCGATTTCTGAGGAAACGAAACTTTGAGGGTAAAACGAAACTTTGAGGGAAAAACGAAACTAACTCGCCGAAGCCAGCCCACAGCCCGTCCACGCCCACGCCTCGGCTGACACGGGCGGGCCGTTGCGACCAGCCGTCCCCTCGCGGGTGTCCAGCCCAGCTACGCCCGGCTGGACCCTCGGAACCAGAGCCAGGCCCCGGCCGCGTGGGGGCAAGGCTGCGGAAAGGGGCGTGGAACGGACACGCGAATCCACCGCGAGCTGGAAGAGCAGAAATCTGGGTTGTTTTTCCACGGAAAGACGGACACGAGCGGCCCGGTCCGCAGAGCGGAGCCTCCGGGTCCAGCCGCCCCCAGCGCGGACACCGCCAGCCCACCTACCGCGAAGAAGATGTTGAAGATGATGAGGATGACCTTACAGCAGTAGCCGCAGCCGTCCAGAGCCATGGCGCAGATCGCTAACTGACCAAAGACCACAAGAACGCAAAGGTGAGCGGCTGATCCCGGGGACACGGTCCGTCGCTGTCCTGAGTGGGCACACAGCACCGCGCGAGAGAAGGGCACAGGGAGCGCGGGGGCAGGTGAGCCCCGCCGCCCCGCGACAGCGCTTATAAGCGCAGCCCGGCCGCCGCCATGGCAACCGCGGCCACCAATCAGCAGCGGGCGCAGCCCCCTCTGCCTGAAACACGACGCCCCGCCCCCCGCGGCTCTTCCCAAAACACCCGCGCCTCACGGTCCCCCCTCTCTCCCAGCGCGACGCCCTCAAACTCAGGGTCCCCCAAGCACCCGCACACCCTCCAGCACCAGGAGTCGTCGCAGCTCGTTGAAGCCCCCGGGGCGCAGGGGGGGCACCGCGCTGCTGGTCGGGGGGTATAATGAACCAGCTGATCCAGAGGGCCCTGGGGCAACAGAAAAGGGGAACCCCCCGCGGAGCCTCACTAAGCCCTAGTCACCCTAACGGCCGGCTAGAGGAGCAGACCTCCTTCTTCCCCTCCGCCCCACCAGAGCCCGCAGGAGCTCGCAACCGCACTGAACTCCGGGGGGGGAGGAGAGGAGCCGACAACAGCCAGCGAGAGAAACTGCAGGTAACCACAACCAGGATGTGACTGTTTCAAGCACTACTGCACTGAGGAAACAGCTTATACACACACTGACACTGCCCTGAGAGAGAGAGGGGTTAATACACACACTCCTCCTGCACACTGACACTGCCCTGAGAGAGAGAGGGGTTAATACCCACACTCCTCCTGCACACTACTGTACACTGACACTGCACTGAGAGAGAGAGAGGGGTTAATACACACACTCCTCCTGCACACTACTGTACACTGACACTGCACTGAGAGAGAG